TCTAAACCTCCACATACCAACTTTGTCGTCGGCTACCACACATCTGTTAAGGATATTACTGCTGGGCGTAAACCGGCCTATCTGGGCCAGGTCAACTTCATCAGTAGTTCCAGAAGTGATAAAGCCCAAGAAGGCAGATGAGGGCCTAAGGCCCGTAGCCGGTTCAAGACTTGTAGCTGTAAACCGGAAGTTGTATGTAAGCTTGTATTGTAAGTTAGGAATAAGGAGAGACCAACCCGAATACGAATACCGACCGGTGTTGGGACTCTGTGAACCGACGGGTGTCACCCGTGTATATAAGGGGACGACCCGGTGACGGTTTAGGGACAACAGACAACAACTCGAGACATAGGCGAAGCTTATTTGCTCCCTAGTCATCGAAACCCCATCAATTTCATCACAACTAGACGTAGGCTTTTACCTTCATTGAAGGGACCGAACTAGTATAAACTCTCTTGCGTCCCTGTGTCCGCTTTAACCCCTTCAAGCTAACCCGTCGCGATGGCTCCACGACTAAGTCCTTTCTCTAGGACATCTGTCGTGACAAAACCAGACAGTTGGCACCCACCGTGGGGCTATCGCACGATGGTTTCCGGTTCTTGGAGGGCCGCTTTGAAGGACTCGAGGGCTACGCTGTAGGCCGGATGACTAAGAGTCGTCGCGGCAAGCTCTACATCGACGACGCAGGCTGGGGCCCCGAGGCCGGCTCAATTGAGTACGGGTACCGGGTCCCCTTTGGTAGCATTCACGTTTTCATTGGCAAGATCGGTGAACCGGGCCCTGAGCTGGACATCTGCACCGACCTCGTCGAGACGGCTCAACGTGCGTGATCCGCCCGGGTTAAACCGGCCATGAAGCGTGCCTTCGTGGGAGTCATCCATGGAGGAAGTTATGAGGATAGATCGGAATCTCGCGGCGATACCGTCCTTTGTTCCAATGACGAGTCATCAACCGGAGAAACCGAATCTCTTTATCAGCTACAAGACGGACGGATTGGGGGCTGTTCTGATGGCGACAGTATTCCGGACCCCTCTGATCTGCCCAACCGGGTTGGAATATTCATGACTGGCACACAAGCAGCGCTTCATTCTTCGACCGCTGCGGCAACGACCTCCGGTTCAGCAGCGGCAATGGCTGCCGGGGCAGGAGGCCCTGTGCACCCGCCGACTCAAGTTCTATCAGAGCTATTTGATGCATTGGCTGTGCTTATGGCGGAGGCTAACCCGGCGGATCAGGGCGTTCACAACGCCGAGATTGCAAAAGTGAAGGAACAGATCACCCAGGCCAAGGCAGATCTGGCAGCCGAGGACACCAGGATGGCCGCAGAGCGGGCTGCTTTAGACGCACAAGCCTACAAGCTCATGTTGGACCAGAGTGCGTCGCAGGAAGTCATGAGGAGGAAGTACCGATCCCGTTTGCCTCCGGTTTTTGAGGCCAGAGACCTTTTCAACACTCCAGGAGTAGGAACCGGCAATCCGATGGAGGGAAACCGGGCTGAAGCTCTCGGGGCCGGCGCACCGGTTCAGCCTCGTCAGATGGACCCGCCTCATCAAAACACCATTATACCTCAGGCTGCTTTAACACCTCCGGGTCACTACTCCAACCCAATGGACATTCTTGTTGCCGCTGCTGCACGGCTGGAGGCCATTCCAATTGAAGGTGACTCGTCGCAGGCAGTAGAGACGCGATGGGTCAAGGAACTTCTGAGGACAGCTTTGGCCCAACAGGAAGCGTACTCGTACAACCGCGACCGGATCCACTCGACCCCCCGTCCAAGCCGGAGCTATAGCAGACATATGGATGAACCAGCAGTGTCGAGTAATGAACGACGTGGAGCACCCCGTGACAACAACCCGGCGGGTGGTGCTGATAACGCTCAGGGAGTAGTGGACCGGGCCCGCGCGCGCAGGGAGGCCGAGCTAGCCACACAACATCAGGCTCGGCAGCTCACGCCGGTTCGTCCAACCACCTTGACTGAACCTGGAGTTATTTCTAGTTCTTTGGGGGTGCCTTGCCTTATCCCCGCTTTACGCAACATGCGCCTGCCCAAGGATTTCAAAGGCCCGCGCAAGGTACCAAATTACACGGCGGATCAACCTCCAGAGACATGGGTGGAGAGCTATGAGATGGCCATGGAGATGCTTGATGTGGATGACGCGGCGTGTGCGAAATACTTCACCATGATGCTTGAAGGAACGGCCCGTACTTGGTTAAAAAGCTTGCCGGCTAATTCTATCAGTTCATGGGCCCAATTACGAGCCCGGTTTATCAGCAATTTTAAGGATACCTGTAAACAGCCTATGTCGATAGTGGACTTAGCTGCATGCGTCCAGGAGGAAGGAGAATCAACGACTCATTGGGTGCACCGGGTTTCACAAGTATTGCACTCCTCAGACCGCATCAACGCTGACACCACAGTATTAACCCTAGAAGGCAACTGCCGGTTTGGGCCCCTGAAGCTGAAGTTGGGACGAATGAAGCGTCATTGCACCGACATGGGGACCCTCATGGCCGCTTTGGTAAAATATGCTAATTCTGATAGTACCAAGGATCTCGAATCTGATGATGACAAGACAGGGAAAGGAAAGAAGAACAGCAGCTCCAAAGGTCAGCAGCATCACTGGGCAGGCAATGGTGGTGGAGGCAAGTGTAAAGCGGATGGTAGCATGGACTTTGTGGCTAATACCAACGCATAGGACGATGGCCAGCGACGTAAGGGTAGACCGAAAAATCGTAATGGAGCACCCAACCCTAACCCAAACCGCCTAAACTATCTGCTAAGCCAGCCCTGTCCAAGACATGGGACGAAGGAGGCGCCAGCAAACCATCTTTTGAAGGATTGCTTTATTATGCAGGAGTTCAAGAATTCTAATAATTTCCGGTATGATCACGAATCTGGCGGTGGCTCAGGATCCGGGTCGGGTTACGGTGGAGGAAGTTCCGGTTCAGGATTCAATGGTAATCCGGGCGGACATAATGGTCAAAGTAGTCAGAACAACCAGGGTGGTTACAACCAACAGCAGCAACAGTCAGGTTACCAAAGCAACCCAAAGCAGTTGAGTAATGGGCAGTACCATGTCTTCACCACTAGCTTGGACAAGCGAGACCGGAAGGTTCAGAGGCGGACGGTCAACTCTGTTGAACCGGCCATACCCCGTTATCTACGTTGGTCTGAACAGCCAATCATATGGAGTAGAGAAGATCACCCTCCCCAGGTCGATAATCCGGGTCAGTTGGCTCTGGTGATGGCGCCTCAGGTGGGAGGTTACAAGTTCACCAAGGTGCTCATGGATGGAGGGAGCAGCATTAACATCCTGTACTATGAGACCTTCCGTCGTATGGGACTAACAGATAAGAATCTCAAACCGTCTAATACAGTATTCCACGGTGTAGTGCCTGGCAGATCAGCATATCTCGTTGGTAAGATAGCTCTGGAAGTGGCCTTTGGGGATGATCATGATTCCAGGTCGGAGACATTGATGTTTGAAGTGGTGAAAATCCAAAGTCCATATCATGCCCTATTTGGGCGACCGGCCTACGCCAAGTTTATGGCTCGGCCCTGTTATGTGTATTTGCAGCTCAAGATGCCGGGTCACAAGGGGACAATAACGGTTCACAGAAGCTGCAAAATCGCTTTGGAGTGTGAGGAAGGAGATGCGGCCTATGCAGAGTCGGTCTGTGCCGCCGAGGAGTTGAAGTATTATAAAGACAATGTTGATCCGGTGGACATGACTCCATTGAAGAAGCCAACTACGGAGCATGATCCGGCCCTGAAGTTCAAATCGACAGCAGAAACTAAGCTTGTTGACTTCGTACCTGGCGATTCATCCAAGCA